CCGCCTCCCCCGGCGCGGAGCGCGGCGCCAAGGAGGGGGCCGCGGGGAGCGCCATGGAGGTGCCGTGAGGCGCGGCCGCCGCGACGCGCGGGCTGCCGAGTAAGTGCCCCGGCTCCGCGCCGTGCCCCCGGGGCCGGCAGGACCCCGCGGCCCCGTCCCCTCCCTGCGTGCGCCGCCGGCCGCGGCCGCCCGCACAAAGGGACCGCGCCAGGTGCGGGGCCGCCCCGGGGCTGGGGGCGACCGTTGGGGCGGTTGCGGTGACGTCAGCGGCCGCCAGGTGCGCGCGGGTGCGAGGCGGCGGGGAGCGCGGGCGAGGTAACGGCCGCGCCTTTGTGCGGCCGGGCGGCGGCTGCCGAGCGCCCCGGGCTGCCTGCCCGCCCGCCGCGGGGCCCGAGGCGGCGGCGAGCCGGGGCGGCCCCCGCGCTGCGCCGCTCCCCTCCTTGTTGACGTTCCAATTACGATTCCCCTTTGGAGCGAGCCCCCACCAGCCAAGTGCTTCACGCCGTCGTTTACCGTCCTCTGCTCTGCTCCCACCTCCGTGGCGGAGCTGGAGGTGGAATGACTTGAATTCTTCCAACGTTTCTTAATTTATTTTTTCATTTTTTTTATTCGAATAAAGCCTAGGGCGACATAAAGCTTCGTTGCCTTTTTGGGGGTCAACCGAAGCCTTGCACTTGGACCTCATTATTGTTATTATTAAGCACAGGTGTACCTCCTTGTGTACTAGAGTCAGGGTTGYGGTCCGTGTGTGTCAGACTTAGCGAGGGTTTTAGGCAGAGTGTCCCACATTTCCAGCACTAAGACCTTTCTTTGGCCCCTCTACCATGTTTGATGGGTATTTTGGATGCTAACATGCTCTTTTGTCTGAAATACGTGGTGATGAACGTGTAAGGTAAGCTACGTGACGGGCCATGTGAATCCCAGCTTATTGAGGTGGGAAATGGATCTCTTGCTGTGGTCGGGCCGTTGGCTGCGGATAGTTGTTAGCCGCTTCCCTGGGAATGTGCTCCGGGTTTCCTTGGAGAGCACCTCCGGGGCGCTCTGTGGAGTCGCAAGGAGCGTTTCCCGAAAAGTGAGAAATTTCCCGATCCGTTTGCGCAACCGGCTGACAGTATTTTGCTTAGAGAATGATTAAATCGACGTCTTTATTCTGCTTTATAATCCTYGAATCTCTGGGTTGAATTGACAGACTTGCTGCTTTTCCTAAACTGTGCCGTGTCCGAATAGCCTAGATTGCTTGTAAGTAACACCTGATCATTTGAGGGTTTAGATCTGGTCGTTGGGCAGCCTTTAGGAGCCACTTGCAGATTAGGTGCCTCTCTCCTGCCGTGAGGGTAGCATATAAGCAACCATGGAATAACCTGAGCAGTGTTTCACTAAATAAAATTTCTATGTGCTTCAACTGTATGTAGCTCAGTCTATTTTTTAGCATGCATTCAAATGTGATCTCTTAATATGAGGTGCTGACTTCACTGTCCTTTAATTAGGAAGAAGTAGAGACAGGTGCTGTATGTGGATYGTTAAAAATCTAGATTTTATTGAGGGGAAAAAAAGTCTGCTTGCCATTTGTGTATAAATAGTATTTTATCGCACAGCAACTATTGACAGAATAKTTGTGAATTTAGGAAAGAGTTCCTTGATATTAAGCAAATTAAGAGATTAATTTGGATTTTTAAGAAGCCTTCTCATTGATTCTTATACACTGCAAGTATGTTGTTCTGCTTTAATCGGAGTCTACAAAACATATGTTTTGGGCGAAGATGAAACCTGTTCTGAATGAAAAAGCCTGAAGTAGTGGGTGGAAAATCATTTGAGATTCCTAGCTTTTCTTTCCATTTAGCTTTTCTACTGCTGTTTCCTCTTGCAGTCGCTTCGACTCTTATTTCTCCAAAGGGAGATGAAAGTGTCCTCCTTTATACAGTCTTTTTGCATATAAAAAGGGTCATTTAGCACTCATTTGTTACTGTTTCTGGTGGTGAATACTATATCGAGTACCACTATTTCTTYTTTTTCCTCCCAGGTGAAAAAATGTGGACTGTTTTAAGAGTAGTTCCTTGAGCAGCAGAAGCTTGAAGCCGTGGCTGCTCCTTACTTCATTTTTTTTTCATCTCATGAATGATTGCAAATGCTAATGGGGTATTTTTTCCTGCCAGGAGCACTTCTAGTCTCCTCCTTCTGTGGATCATCTAACATCTTAATGTGTGTTGCAGCCTTTCCCTCGGCCAGGACACTCATAGCAGCTCAATTTCATGAACTTAATGTTTTATATGGGATTATCTTTGAGACCTCCATCCTTCTGCCAAATTCAGTTGAAATCAGGCAATAAGTTCAAGGTTGTGTGGGAACACATCCCCTTTGCTGTCTCTCCAATCTGCATCCTATGCAAGCTCAATTTTCTTTAAAAGATGGGATAAAAGACATGAAATAATGGATTAAAATTTCATATATTTTTTCTTAATTTCAGTATTTTCTTTCCTCTGATGGCTAATGTTTTCCTTTGTTTTTAATATGTTCTGTCATTTTCCTTTATTAGTTCTTCCATAGCTTCCCTGCAGAAGATGCTACTTACAGAACCATTGGTTTTCTTTCTTTTCTGTAATTTTTATAGCACGTTTAAACTACAATCAGCCCGCTTGCATATGCACTAACATCTCATCTGATCTGTAAATTTACAGTTGGAGGAAAAAAAAACCTGAGATAAATACCAAGCAGAGGACTGAACAAAAATATGAGGCTCGGTTGTCTATGGGAAGCACCCAGTTAGGAAGAAAATGAGTGGGTTTTGTTCTGTTTTGCTTTATTCCTGTGCTTTTTGGCTGCTGAGAACAGGGGTTGTGATGGAAGTCTTACCAGGTTATGGCATTGAGATTGGACTTTGTACCTTATGCCTGTACCTGTCTGATGCATCTTGATATTCTCTGTTAGGGGAGAGCAAAACACATTTCTGTAGCTCATGCTCTGCCTTTTCCCTCACCTCCCAGACTGTGACTGCTGTGAGGATGGTGATACTTCTTTTCTAGCTTTGGGTTTTTTTGGGCCTGTGGCCCAGATTCTCTAAGATACCGAGGCGCCAGATTGCAATAGGAGTTCAAGGTATCTGCCTCTAAGTATGGGGAGGGATCTTGATGACGCCTAACACAGATTACAGCCTATAAATTTCATGTTTACAGGACCTGGTTTCAAAAGAAAGCAGATAGGGAATAAGGCTGGGAAGCAGCTCTTTAGACCATCATTCTGACTTCAAATGACTTTGCAAACAGACAAAGAAAAATTATGCGTCTTCCCCGTCCCCGGAGGTGGGAAGCGCTCCGTGCAACTCGCTGCAATGGCTCGAGTGCTCGTGCAGTTGCCGTAAGCTGCCTCTCACGAGATCAGGACTTAAATTTCTGAATTCTGAATAATCTAATTGCTGAATGAAGGACTTAACAGAGAGGCAGCGCGACATTAATTCTAGACTTCCAGGAAAATAAACTAGTACAATTAGAAATTGTTTAATATTGTGTTTCTTAATCCCCTGAATGATTTTAAATCGGTTAAAATATAGAAAATACAATTAAAGGTATATACATTTATAAAAATGGGTTTATTGATATAGAAGCTTATTTTGAGGGAGAACTGAATGAAATTTCAGCTTTTGCTGCTCTGATGTGTGTGTCAGCTCATTTAATATAACAAAGTTGTAGATAATAGGAAATGTAGTTATATTTTAACAAGTTGCTTAATAAATAGCAGAAATAATGCATAGTTTGTGTTTATGCCTTGTTCCTGACTGGTTGTTAATTAGATATTGTGGTTGCAACATGAATTTAATCTTCAGACATCAGAGAATCCATACAGAACTAGCTTATTAAGAGGATCCTAACGGACACTTAAAACTTACGGGAAAAGAGGAATCAATTCTTAATCCAGGGTTTATTCTCTTTTGTCAGCTAATCAAAGGTATTAAAATCTATTAAAATTTTATATAGATAGAACGTTTGTATTGTTCATTTCCCTTTTTTTTTTTTTTTTTTTTCTTTTTCCCTGTTGTATTGGTAAGCTGCTGCGTTTATTTACTGGCAGTGTTAATAGAATCTCTCTTCTCTATCTGGCCTCATGTTTTCACAGATTTGGAGAACTTTGTACTTGAGACAAATTTGGTATAAGTTGGTTGGTAGATATTTAAAGTTTTTGAAGGGGAACTTTTGACAAGTATTCTACAAGTGACCTATGTTCTGTTTGTCTAGGAAATATGTCTAAAAATTGTTCAAGTGAGCCTGAGTGCTCTTAAAGAAAAATAAACCTCTGCACATAATACTTGCCCTTAGAGCTGCAACTGCTTGTAGGCAGAAATGCACAGTGACAATGGAGACTAATGGTACTTAGTGGTACTAACTGGTAGTACTAGTTTAATTTACTACTTTGTCAAGGAAGATTTTMTTTCTCCTAGATTAATCTGCTGGGGTTTTGGCTTGCAATAATAGCAAAACAGATGCGCTTCTAATTATTTACATATTCAAATTTTTAAAGATGGTAAGATTTGTCACAGATGGCAATTAAACAAGCCATAGGCTGAGCAATCAAATAAACCATGGGACAAAAGGTAAAATATTGTTACAGGTCACTAAATTCTTGCGAGGAAATAACAGAAATGAATGTTAAGCAGTAGTAGGCTTAAAGTTTTATTTTAAATAGGGAGCTTTGTAATATTTAATATTAAGCATCTGTAGAAAGTGATTTCTAAAGCAGCAGCACTTACTGAGGAATGAAAATTGATTAAATTCAGAAATGCTAGGAAGGTCGTAAGAGAAATGCAAGTGAGCTATATGGAACAGCAAAAGGGTGACAGGAAAGGCTGAATGTTGATATATGCAAAACTGGTACGGAGGCAAAAAATAAGACACCATTTGTGTGTCTTAAGATTCTAACTAAGCAGTAGCAATATAATGAGAACGTGGGCATCGCTCCAGATAGATAAGTGGTCTAGTTACTCAATTCCCTTTTTTTAAATCACCTRTGATTACAGCTTGGTATAGAGAGTGCAGTGCTGTTCTCGACAAGTTTCTTAATTCTCATCTGGTRTTCAAGTTGGCTATTGATCAGAAAATCGCAGTATTGTA